AGAATTGAAAAAACCCCAGCATGGTAGCTGCATCCCTGTGTTCACTTGAGCTGTTGTTAGTGGCTACGTGGAACAATCTGGAAAGCTCGACAAGAGAAGTGAACACAACGGACGAAGAATTTCTACCTGGCAGAAGCGTGGGCCACTGCTGCCTCTGAACGAAGTCCGTAAGTGCTGCTGTTAGCTAAGGCCAGCGAGCTTTCAACACTTGCTCTCAGCTCCCTTTGGAGTCTCTGGGTTAGTACTTAAGATACAAGAAAAAGAGGAAGGAAAAAGGGGAAAGAAAATGACTTTAAACAGGACGAAGGGTAAATCCCTATTGGCTTTTTTCTTCTAACCACCCAGTTTTTCAATCAAAAATCTTAGACTCCTATATATTTATGTGGCCAGTGTGAGCTGTGATTTAAATGCCTATTCTGAAAATGGAAAGACAATGTAAAGAGGGAAAACTATCCTTTTCTTTCTAAGTCAATATTCTATTGTCTTAGGAGAAGCCAGTTTAAAAAAGATGCTATTTCCAAGGGAGGAGCGATGCACTTCAACTTCTCTGCAATGGCCTTGTGACTGCTGACATGGTCTCCCCTAAAGCACTGTGTCTCACAAGGGCGTCCTGTGTGAAAAGAGTGGGCAGGGGCCAGGGAGGTAGCTCAGTAGAATAAGGCTTCCCTCAGCAGTACAAGGGCCTGAGTTCACTCCCCAGCTCCGCAAAACAAACAAACAAAACAAAACCAATGGGCAACTGGATGTAGCACAGTGACTTCAAGACCATGAGCTGAATGCAAGCCAACATTTTCTTCACGGGGACTTTACCTTTGTGAGTTCGTGTCTACTCAGATTACAAATACTAATCTTTGGATCTGATGTGTGCAAACAACAGGAAACTGAAAGCACAAGAAACAATGCAGGTGTGTCGGTGGTAGCAGAGAAGCAGGCTTAAGCGAAAGTCCTTAAGAATACAGTGACCTCTGCAGTTCCCTTCTTTCTGATAAGCGGACATTGATATGCATTAGCCAAGAGGGAAAGGGAGAAACTGGATTTCAATAGGGAGTTAAAAAAATATTTCATTGGAGCTCACCCAGCTTGTTCCTCAGATGTGGCAAATCATACATCCCCACAGATCCCAGCTGCATGAATAAGTGACTGAGAAAATCTGTGACATCCTACGGAGAGTTTATGTTGATAAACTGAGTTACGTTAGAAATCGTCACGAAAACAAAATTGGCATGCAGGGAACACAAATCTTTTCTTTCTTCAACTGAAACACTCATACAAAGGGCAATACTCTGAGCTTGACATACTGAACCTTGAACACTTACCTCAAAAACAACTCGGTAGCTGTCATATCTCACAAGTGATGGCAGAAGACTTGGCAAAAAAGGGAGCACAATTGCTAAATCCTTGATTTTGGAAACATGAAGGACATTTCTGGTTGTCCTCACAAGCTTAAAACTGACAACTAACACACAGCCCAGTCTTGTCCTCCGATAGATGTTTCTTGAAATGTTGGTTTTAAGTAACAACTGGCTTTAGAAACACCTATGGCACTGCCATTCTTTAGTTTGTAATTCTGTTAATATGGAAGGGTATGAAAGGAGAGCTCTATTAGAAATCATAGGTACATCTCATTATCATCTAAGAAACCTTTAGCCTTAACAAGTCTAGTTTCCTTTACAGATATTTTTTTTTCCAGTCTTTCAATATCTTAGTCTTTTTAAAATAAAAGTCAGGTCCTCCTCTACTGCTTTGCATTCCAGCAGTTTCTTTTATTGTCTGAGAAAAAATGAAATTAAAAAAAAAAACACACAGTAAAAGGCTAAGAGGCCTATTCAACTAAGAATGCATTTTTCAGAACTTAGTTTCTGTCAGATGACCTCTGTCCTCTGGGTGATTTGGTAGGAACGTGAGGTGCTGGACACACCAGCTTCACACACGCTTATCATCTAAAAACAATGAGCCAAGTACACAAAAGCACAAAGGATAAAGCATCATTAAGCCACTTATCACATGAAGTCAGATACCATTGTGACATCCTGTTTGATTGCTCTGTGCTTTTATATGGGAGATCAGTTACTTTTAACATAGACATTTTACAGAGGTGCAAATTTGCTAGTGTGGTAAGTATAACTAAGTGGTAAACACTGTTAAAATCTGGTGGTCTTAGAAACTGGCCTGCAGATTGTATTATCACTAATTTTGGCTGCAGTCTTTTAAAAGCAAGCTTCTGAAAAGTTTCCATGTGGCCAGGGCCCTACTTACCCCTGTTGTTTACATAAGGTTGCTCCACAGGCTGAGGGGCCTGCCTGGGTGGGCCCTGAGTACATCTGAGTTGCTAAAGAGTAACAAGCGTTCAGATGACACAATGCAGGGAGAAATTGAGTAGAAAAAAGGAAAAGCTTTTAAAAACTTTTAAAAATATATACCCAGAGGGCAGGCCAAATAGATTAAAGCACCTGCAAGCAGGGGCAGGGGCCAAGTTGGTTTGATCCCCAGGCCTGCTGTGCCTGGGGCACACTGAGACTTGATTTTTTTTTTTTTTTTTTGGAACTGGGGATTGAACTCAGCCCCTCGTTCTTGCCACGCAAGCACTTATTCTACTGAGGTATCTCCCCAGCCCCAACTATCTCCCCAGCTCCGCTGAGATGTGAGACTGGGCATGGTGGTGCAAGCCTGTAATCCTAGCTCTTGGGAAGCTGTAAACAGGTGGATGACTATGAGTCTGATCGAGCAGTAAGACCCTGAACACCCTGTAGACCCTTCCCTAAAAATGAATATCTATCTATCTATCTATCTATCTATCTATCTATCTCCAGTGTTACCTGCTCAACTCCAACTATGCAAAAAACATTCAACATTAAGTTTCTAAGTTGTTTGAAATTAGATGCAAAAATGATAAATTATTCCCATTTCAACCCAAATTTCTCAAGCAGTTAAATCAAATACAGGGGCTGGGGAATAGCTCAGGGACACAAGAGTTTACCTGGCAAGTGCAAGGCCCTGACTTTGATTTCACTCATACACACAAAACAAAACAAAACAGTAAAGGCTTAGGAATGTCAAATCATAAAAAATCTCATCTTTTAGCTGAGTCCTAAAGGGGGAGAACTGAAGACATCCCAGTCCCTAGGAACAGGAGAACATCATAATGGAGGCCAAGCCGGAGCACACGGACTGATAAGGAAGCTGCGCCTGCTTGCGGGGCTGCAGGAAACTCCAGGGGAGGAGAAGGGAGAGCAAGGGTTCTAGTAGGAGACCCTGCAGAAGCACCTACTGCCCAGATTCTGGGTGGCACAGCACGCAGAGACGGGCTGACTGGTGCACATCTGAAGAAGGCACGTGAGGGAGGGAGATCTGGAGGCCCCACTGGCTGTGGAGTAAGGGTAGCAGGTGGACACCAAAACTTCCAGTTATTTCTGTAATGGTTTGGGTTGAGCAGATCCTGTTTGCCTAAAACACTTTGAAATAAAACACCAACCATAATTCAGCTTTCCATAATTTCTTACTCAAATGTGTCTAGGAGAAAATTCTCCTGTTCGTTACTAATTAAAAAGACTTTTCTTGAGGTACCCCTCCCCTCCACTGTGGTTGTCCAGCACACCGTAGGACATACAAGTTTGGGGTTCATAAATGTAACAAAATTTGCCTCTTTCCTCAAGTCAACAACAAGACCGTAAATTATTCATGGGGTAAAGGTATATCAAAAATTTGAATCCTTTTTTCCCCCTTGGTATTAGAGAATTAACTCAGGGAATGATGAGCTTCATGTCCAGCCATTTTATTCTGAGCTGGGGTCTCTCTACCCTGCCCTGGCTAGTCGTGAACTTGTGACCCTCCTGTCTCAGGCTCCTACAGGTATGACCACCATACCCAGATGCAAGGTGTCTAAGGCTGGTCTTCTGTCATCTTTAACAGATCCATTCTCCACTTTCCCACAAGTACTTATTATAAATCTGCAACTCCTGCCAGATGGTCCCAAGTCTCTAAACTCTGCCCCCTAAAAAGGTCTGTATTTATACTCTGCATGCATAATGACAACATTCAGTTTCAGATAGTACTCAAACCATTTCATACGTAGCTTACAGGGAAGTTGCAATATTTCAGAGGTACACGTGGGAAAGACTGCACATTGTGCTAGGTTCCTTTAGGCTGAGCGTGTGTGTGAATATAAGAATGGACAAGAGCCTTTCCTAGTGAAAGAAGGTAAAACACAAGCTGTACCACCTGGGTTAGCTTTCATTTTAATCAGCCCAGTGAGCCCAGGACCTCTTGCCCTGTACGTTCCTTGGTTATTTAGTCCTAAAAATTACTCCTGGGGCCGGGAAGATGGCTCAGTAGAATAAACGCTTCCTTGGCAAGCACAAGGGCCTGAGTTCAATCTCCGTTCTGTCAAAAAAAATGAATAAAAGTTCTTTTTTTTTTTTTTTTTTTTTTTTTTTTGTGGAACCGGGGCTTGAACTCAGGCCCTTGCGCTTGCCAGGCAGGCACTTATTCTACTGAGCCATCTCCCTGGCCCCAAAAGTTATTCTTATTAGCATAACTAGTACTTTGTACTATTTTCAAAGAGCCATTCCAGTCAATCTCTCAGTCAACAAACAAGGTAAGAGAGGTAGTGTATCCTCCGAGAATACAAAGCTTATAACCTCCTCTGCTTCCTTCACATTCATAAGAAGGCCAGGTGAGTAAGGCCACATTTAGAAATAAAAGAGAAGAAACAAAGACAGTGTTTTGTAATATAATGGATCGGACATATTCAAACAAAGAACTGGTTCTGTTTTAAAACTTGAGCTCATAATTTTATTTATTTATTTATTTTGTATTTGAGGGAAGGGTCTACAGGGTGTTCAGGGTCTCACTACTAGATCGGACTCATAATTTTAAATAAAGTGAAAACACGACACTAATTTGTCTTGGAAAATGTGATTATCAATATGCTCTAATAATTAAAATTCTAAAGCTCCTGATCAGAAGAGATTTAGATTAAACCAATGGAAACTTAAACTAACCTTAAAGAAGGCAAACCACTTGTAGTCATTCAACACGATCTCAAAGCCTTGGTTATAAATAATGGTGAAATACCCGGAATTGCCGAAGTCATCATGGGCTGTGTCCATCTTCTTAAGGTGTATCATTACTTTTTTTTCTGGTGGTCCTAAAGAAAAGGAAATGGATAAAGACCAAAGTGAAGTTATTTGAACACAGTGGAGATGGTGAATTCTTATAATTTCGAGTATTTAACTAAGCAACTCTTCTTTATGCCCACTCCAGTTTGGGCCTTCAATGTGCATAATGAAGAAATCAGCGTCCACCTTCTGGCCTCTACAACCTAGAAACGGCATGCAGTCTGCGAAAAAAATTCCACTCAAGAATCAGCGATGAGCTGGCCACACACACACACACACACACACACACACAATAAATAAATAAATGTTTAAAAAAAAAAAAAAAAGAATCAGCGATGAGGGCTGGCCAGATAGCTCAGGTTGATCCCTGTAGTCCGTTGCCGGCCCCACCTCCAGAGGCTCACAGACTGGCCGTGGTGGTGCGCCCCTGTAACCCCAGCATTTGGGAGGCTGAAATCCGGAGGATCACTATGAGTCTGATCTGTACAGTGAGACTCTGCAGACCCTCTGCTAAATACAGAAAGAAAAAAAAGAACCAGCAATGAGTGATGCTCAGAATCATAGGCAGAAACAGATGACAAAGTGATAGTCAAAGAGTGAAAAATAAAAGGTCTGACAAATAAAGACCAGCCACCTATGAACCCACAAGGTCAAAGTGGGAAGCCCAAAAGACAGGAAATGATTAATTCAGAGAAGATAAGAGCAATCCTTCTTTTCAACAGCTCTAGAGTGAGAACCTCATCAAGCTTGAGGTTTCTAACCTTCAAGCTAACGTGTGCTGACAGGAATTCTATGCTGACCTTTCAGATCAGGACTTAAATCACTGGACGTCTTTAATTATAGATTAAGGTCAAAGGTAGGTTTACAGGCAAAGCTGCCTGCAAGGCAGATGTGTAGGTAGCTCTGGAAACCTCCATCCTTTACAGCCTTTCCTTATTTCAGACGAGTGAATGGAAGGGAGACCGCGTGGGGCAGGGCAGTGCATCTGACTTCACTGCCACCCGTCTCTGCTCCATGTATAAAGGGACAGTGGTGTACAATGCCCAAGGCTGACACAGCCTGCGTTAGATAGTTAAAAACCAAGTTATTTGACAACTGCTCTGTTGACGAGAAAAATTACATCTAGTTGTGTATCTCTCACCCTCTTTACTAGCTTCTTTGTCCGAGGGCTGGCAGTCCAGCTGCTGGGTGCCGTCGTGCCCACGCTGGATCTGATGGCACCCACGAGGCTGGCCTGCCCCTGGCTCCGTGGACTCCTCTACGTGTAATTACTGGGTAAAGACTTTAGGGGAAAAAAGTTTGTATACTCCTTGCAATGCCCAAAACCCAGCACAGAGGTAGGAGAAAGTTTCTAGACTAGAAGCAAACTATCACACCTCAAATTGAAACTGCTGGGCTAGGGAGTCCTTTGCTAGCAAGTCAGAGAAGGATTCAAACAACAAAACAGAGCTTGCTAGGTGCGAGTCTTGGAGCGCAGCTGTCTTCACAGCAGAACTTAGAAAGCCTTCCAGACCGGACCAGGGGTTAGAGGACTGCGGTTCTCAGCTGTCTCCTAAACCTAGGCACCCGAGGGGAAAGAGAAAAGCCGAGGGGAAAAAGTTCTTCGGAAAGAGTAGCGGGCCCGAGACAATCAAGTCCGTGCAGCTCAAAACTGTCACCGCGCGGCCTACCGGGCAGAGACGGAGGCACCTGAAGGACGGCCACCGCGGCCAGGGCGCAGGGCGGCGGGCGCGGGCTTACCCAGGGCCGAGCAGTTGACGTCGCTCCGGCCGCCGCCGCGGCCCACCTGGAAGAGCCAGGTGCCCAGCAGGTCCGGATAGGTGCAGTTGGCAGGGGTGTCGCCGCGCACGCCGCGGGGGCCGCCCAGGAGCAGCAGGAGGGCGGCGAGCAGCGGGCCGGACTGGAGAGCCATGCTGGAGGGGCCGGAGCGCGCGCGGGCAGCAGCGCAGAGCCCGGGATACCGCCTGAAATAGCCGCGCGCCGG